GAACATGTATTTTTTACCAAAATAATTATACAAAATTATCATTGTAGATGAATTTTTATTTAGTCAGGATTAAATCCAAAAGAGATTTTTGCAGTAACTCTTTTCAAGGGGTGCTGATAGCATTTAGGAAATAAGGCCAACTGTGGCTTCAAGAAGAGATGGAAATTCAGTGATAGGCTCTATGGTGGTCCTTTTTAACTGCAGTAAACAAGAGTGAGCTCACTGAAGCCTCAGTCAGAGTTCAGCCAGAGAAACAGAGCCAGTGCGAGATATTAAGAGATAAGCAGTTTGTTAAGTGGATTTGCTTTGTGAGCTCCCGAGGGCTGGTGAAGTTGGCCATAGCGCAAGGCACATGGAAAGGAAGGCCATGAGCAGGCCGGGGTGCCGTGGGCACCAGCTGTCTGTGGTCCCTGAGCTCAGGGAAAGCCTCAGCCCCCTCCAAACGGCTCACTGAGCAAGTATCGCTCTCCCGGCTGATTTGCTCTGAGTCAGTTGATTAGGGACCTTAATTACATCCGAGAGATTCCTTCTCCTCTGCCTCGTGAGGGAACCTGATCACGGGAGTGGCGTCCCTTTGGACTCATCGGCCCAGCCTGCACGTGGAGAGCACTGTAGAGGATACTGGGGGGCGTCTCGAAGGCTCAGTGATTGTTTCACTGCTGCAAGGAACCCCCTGGCACAAGAACATTTTACATCCTTTATCTCCACAGACCCACCCACCAGAGCCTTCTCAGAAGATTTCTGCGCACCAGGGATAAGGAGCTTTTTACACATTTTCCCCTCTGCCCTGGATGGGCTAAGGTTGCCTTGCCCTGTAGCATTTTTAGACTCACATTTCCCCGTGGCCAACTTTCTGTGCTGCAATGTAGCACCAAAAAGAAGCAAGTAAAATGTTTTTGACCTTTAACTTCTCTAACTTTAACTATTATTTGTCTTAAGGAGAACTGGCCCTTACAAAAACAAACACTCCAGCAATTAAGAAGAAGAGGGGGAAAGGCCTTTTGTTTCATCCTTTTCAGCCACTTGGCAGAATAATTTGAGTAGATTTAAGGATGATTTCAGCTAATGCCAGAAGAATCTCTTTGAACTACCTGGTCTGTAGAATAAGAGCATAATCCTACAGGACTAGTTTAAATTTACTAATGAGTCTAGTTCGGGATATGTAAAATCTTACATCACTTAATAAGGACAGTAGTTCAGACATGATTCGGGCTTTATAATGCATCAGTGTGGCGTAGCCAGTGACAGAATATACTTAGTAGGTTGCAGACTCATCTTTCTTCTGGAGCCATCTTCACATTCATTTGAATGCTAGGATGAACACTAGTTTATAAACATATTTTCTCTGGGAAATTAGGAGGAATATACGATGTTTTTTCTTCTCAAACACTCATTTATTCACTTAGCAAATCTTCATTGAGAATTTAGTATTTTCAGGTCCTGGGAATATGGGCCACTGGGCTGAAGAGACAGCCTGTGATTCCTGTCCTTGAAAAACTAAGTAGTATTGGGTAGAAAAAAAGGCATTTGAAGAACAGTTTCAACAACGTGCCAGCATTTCTCTGATGGTTGAATTACGACATGCTATGAGGATACATGAATCAAAAGAGAAAATACGTATCCAAACAAAATTCTTACAGTGAAAATAGAAGTTTTTTCAACCACCGTAGACTGTATCAAAGTTTTCTCTTTGAGTATTTTTGTGGTTCTCAAGATCTCATTCTTATAGGATGGATAGTTAGACTATCAATGTTAAAGTTTTGTAGATGTTAATGAATTCTACGATAATAATGAGGTTTGCAACATTTCCTTGATTAAATGCAGGAGATATAGGAATTAAATTTTTTTACATAGTTTTTTGAAAGAAGTTTCATTTCTATTTAATGGCAAACTACTTATATCAGAGTGCTTTTAATAGCAATCTGATTTTGAGATTGGAAAACTTCTATCTACTTTCAACTTTATGGGCTCAATGTATAACTGCAATCTGTATTAAGATGATTCAATTAATATTATATTTCAATTGATGTTTTTTATTATTACATTTTACTTTTTATAATTTATATTTCTCAACTGTGATTCCTCATCTGTTTTATTATGTATATATTTTTCTTTATGCTCTTATACCTGTTTTATATCTATAATAGTTATTTTAAAGTCCTCGCCTACTGATTGTAAGGGCCATCTTTGCATCAATTTCTATTATTATTTTTTTAGTACAGGTCATTATTTAAAAATTTAGTATAGATCAATTTTATTGTCTCTTCACCTCTACTTATTTTTGAAAGTACATTGGATGTTAGACAGGACATGTTGTAGAGACTGCCTTTTGTTCAGGTTGATTTCTGAAGGGTGATTGGTTTGGAGGCAGTCAAGCTGGCTGGACTGAAACTCCGCTTTCCTCTCTTTTGCAACGGGCAGTTGTTACATTTCTGCTTAGTTATTTCATCTTCCATCTCCTGCCATTATACTCGTCCTCCCTTTAGGGGTCAACCAGAATTTGGGTGGATTTTATAAGCAGGTTTTGTGGATACTTCTCTGATTTAGCTGATCTAATTTCCAGGCTGCCGTGAGCCTGAAGCGTGTCCTCTGGTACCTCGGGTCTGGGAGGCAGCAGATCAGGCAGGGCTGGCCCGAGGCAAAGGGCAGCTTTTTGTGAATCACCTGGGTGCTGTTTGTCTTTAGAGAGAAGTCTACTCTTCAATTTGTCCCTGCTTTTGGTCCCTCTCAAGGGCCTTCAAATAGATTTTAAAAAGTATTTTTTTGAAATTTTATAATTATATATGGGAGATTAGTCCAACTAAACTATTCCATCATTTCCCAAAGCCAGCATAATTCGAAAGGAAAGTAAAATTGGAAATGTGATGCTGAAACTAAAGGCCCTAATTTAGATATAGTACAGCTAACACAGAGTCTTAGTGAGATAGTTGCCCGCCTCCTCTGGACACTTCGTTTCTAGTAAAGGCTACTTCTGTAGACGCTTCTGCCAGCCGTCCCATTTTTGGTTCATGTCATACTCATTTCTGTGCTTGTTCAAAGGATCTAGATTATTTTCACCTGAATTTCTCCTAAGCCTGAGCCAGAAAAAAAGACAAGAAGAAGAAAAGAAGTTCTTTGTTCTTTCAAACAGCAAATAATCATACTTTTCCCCCCAATGTCATTTTAGCAGTTCTTTCCAGACCTGAGAATCAGCCATCAGGAAGTTGCACAGTTAGAACTTCTAATCCCGAGTGATGGGAACCACTTCGGTAAAAAGCAGACAAAGCCTAACTTTACATTAGTAACTGTGGCCCCCCAAACACAGTCCACAGTCTAGGTAGACTACACACGGATCTCCTTGGATAAGAGAAAAAAAAGAATCTTAGGGACTCATTGTTTTATTCCGAGGAGATAATGACATGGTTGTATTTTCCCCCAGGATTTAATTTTCCTATCGATAGGGTTGGCATAAGAACATTAGTAGCTTATCTTGTTTGGTAGAATGACAATTGGAATGTTTTATTATCTGTTTTATTGCAGATACTTAGAATAGTGTTTCAGATTATTTAAATCAATTTATAATTTTATTCATTTTCTTATATGGCCTTGACCTTAAGAATTTCAGCTCTGCCTGGCCAGCGTGGCTCAGTGGATGAGCGTTGACTAGGATCTAGGAGACTGAGGTTGGATCCCTGGTCAGGGCACATGCCTGGGTTGGGGGCTCGATCCCCAGCAGGGAGTGTGCAGGAGGCAGCCGATCAATGACTCTCATCATTGGTGTTTCTCTCTCTCTTCCTCTCCCTTTCCCTTTCTGAAATCAGTAGACATATTTAAAAAAAAATAAAGAATTTCAACTCATTTTAATTTTAGTTGTTGATGGAAGGTTATCATTTTTGTGTTATTAATAGAGTGTTTAAATGATATAATTTTTTATTGAATTTTCCTTTTTGTGTGATGGACATGAATTTTACTCCAACCTAATCTTCAGAAACATTATGTAACTATTACTAATTTCAAACAACAGTCAAATAACCAAAGGCATAGAAGAAACTTAGTAAATTTAACAAGGAAAGTTAGACCAAGGAGAATAAGAACTCACTAAATGAGGCATCGCAACTGAAAGAAGGTTATACTTTTTCTGTTATTTTAAGGCCTGTACGGAACTTCAGGACATAGTGAGTGGATTAGGGTTAGGAATAGATCAGGATTAAGCGGGGGTGGGGTAGGGGGATTGAAAGGGAGCAGGTTGAAGGAGGAAGCAGTAAAATACAGGGATTTGGAAGGAGCGTTAGCTGGCATCAGGGCATCGGTTGCATCTTCAGGGCAGAGGGACTTTAGCCCAACTTGTGGTTCAAGTTGGAAATTGCATTATTGGAAACTGAGCTGCAGTAGCTTCAAGTAGTTCTAGAGAAATCATCATTGAAGTCCTTGTTAACATAATCACCATTACAATCATCATTTTCATGGTCAGAATCATTAAAATTTAATGTTTATTTTATCCCAGACACTGTGCCTATCTCATTTTTTCTGATACTATGGGGGTGATACTTTTGTAGCTTTACTTACAGATGAGAAAATAGGCTTAAAAACCTTTAACTTTTCCTAGGGTCACAGAGGCAGTAAGTGGCAGAGACTGGACTGAAAAATGGATTTCCTGCCCCATAGACCTATGCTCTTAGGTACCAATAAAGAAAAAAAATAATCTGGAAAGAACATGAAGCCTGTACTATTAATTTTAAGACCTCTGGTCTGGAGTTTGCCATTGAGCAATATAAAATTTTATGTTATGGCTAAAATAATTTTCTACGAATGTGAATAATTGGAGAATATGTTATTTATTTTTACAGTTTTCTACTTGAATCTTCAGTAGAAGTTGAACTGCTGGAATAAAATATTCGAGCATTATCATTTCAGGGGACTTCAGAGGGCTGGATTTTTCAAGAAACATACAACAAGGAAAAGTTCTTTCAGGATAAAGTCATATTTTAAAAACTTGCTTATCTCCTTTCCTCTCTCCTTAGGAAAAACTGGATGCAGGGGTGAGAAAAGAAGTGGATGGCATGGGAACCTCCGAGATAAAGTACGGAGACTCGGTCTGCTACATACAGCACGTGAACACGGGCCTGTGGCTGACGTACCAGGCCGTGGACGTGAAGTCCGTGAGGATGGGAGCCGTCCAGCGTAAGGTGAGATGCTAGGGAGATGCCTTTCAGCTGCGGTCTCATGGGAAAATACACGGACGCAAAGCAGGGCGAGGCGGTGAGCCCTCAGCCACCCGCTGATGGCCAGTGTCGGTGTGCTGAGGGACACACCCTGCCCTGACAGACTCTGGTTTCGTAAGGTGCGCATGGCTGGGTGTGCCGTCACTAATTTAAGTACTAAGTGAAGAAATACACTGGCTGGGCTTAAGTGCATCCTCAGAGCATCGGATAAGATCCTGGGACAACTTTCCTGTAGACCCAGCCCCACTGGATTATTACCATTACTTGTAAAATTTCAGAGGTAAAATTTATATACACTGAAATGCAAAAAACAACTGTACAGTTGGGGCAAGTGGATACATTTGTGTGACCCACACCCATCACATTAAGGAACAGTTCCATAGTGTTCAGGAAGGTGCCCACCATGCCTTCCCGGGTTACCCTTGCCCCTTCCTGCACAGGGCACCTGCCTGCATGATCTCTACACCAGAGGTTAGTCTTACCTGATGTAGATTTTCACACAGATGAAACCATGCACACACTCCCTTTGGTACCTTGCTGCTTCCACTCAGCAAATTGTCTCTGACTTTTGTCCTGTTGTTGCATGTTGAGATCCAAAGAGTTGAAGCTGCTTTTTTTGTTGTTGTTGTTAATCTTCACCCAAGGATATTTTTCCATTGATTTTAGATAGAGTGGAAGGGATGAAGGGGGGAGGGAGGGAGAGAGAGAAACATCAGTGCGAGAGAGACATACCAAGTGGTTGCTTCCTACTCGAGCCCTGACCAGGGCTGGGGAGCAAACCTGCAACCCAGGTACATGCTCTTGACTGGGAATCAGACCCTCAACCCTTTGGTGTGCAGGCCAACACTCTAACCACTGAGCCACACCTGCCAGGGTTGAAGCTGCTTTTTTCTTTTTTAAATTTATCTTTATTGTTGACAGTATTACTGGTGTCCCATTTTTCCCCCCCAATTGACCCCCTCCACTTCACTCCAACCCCTTCCCCAGGCCTTTACCCCGTTATTGACTGTGTCCATGGGTTATACATATATGCATATAACTTCTTTGGTTAATCTCTTCCTACACTCCACCCCCTTTCCCTCTTCCCTCTGAAATATGACCGTCTGATGCATGTGTCAGTGTCTGTGGATCTATTTAGTTCGTCATATTCTTTTGTCCATGAGCTTCTTCTTAAAGAAGACCCTTCAACATTTCCTGTAGTGCTGGTCTGGTGGTGATGAACTCCTTTAGCTTTTTCTTACCTGTGAAGCTCTTTATCTAACCTTCAGTTCTAAATGATAGCTTAGCTGGGTAGAGCAATCTTGGTTGTAGTTCCATGTTTTTCATCACTTTGAATATTTCTTGCCACTCCCTTCTGGCCTGCAAGGTTTCTGTTAAGAAATCAGCTGACAGTCATGTGGGTGTTCCCTTGTAGGTAACTAACTGCTTTTCTCTTGCTGCTTTTAAGATTCTCTCTTTGTCTTTAACCTTTGGCATTTTAATTATAATGTGTCTTGCTGTGAGCCTCTTTGAGTTCTTCTTGTTTGGGACCCTCTGTGCTTTCTGAACTTGTAAATCTATTTCCTTCCCGAGGTAGGTGAAGTTTCCTGTAATTATTTTTTCAAATAGGTTTTCAAGTACTTGGTCTCTTCCTTCCCTTCTGGTACCCCAATAATGCGAATGTTGGGGCCTCTTGAAGTTGTCCCAGAGGCTCCTTATACTATCTTCATATTTCTGGATTCTTTTTTCTTTTTGCTCTTCTGGTTGGGTGTTTTTTGTTTCCTCATGTTCCAAATTGCTGATTTGATTCTCAGNTGCTCTTCTGGTTGAGTGTTTTTTGTTTCCTCATGTTCTAAATTTCTGATTTGATTCTCAGCGTTCTCTACTCTACTGTTGATTCCCTGTAAATTATTCTTCATTTCAGTTCATGTAGCCTTCACTTCAAATTGGTACTTTATTATGTCATCTGTTTTCTCAGTTTTAGTAATAATACGGTTGAGCATCCTTATAAACAAAATTCTGAACTCTGTATCTGTTAGCTTGCTTGGATCTATTTCATTTAGTTCCTCTTCTAGAGATTTCTTCTGTTCTTTCCTTTGTGACATGTTTCTTTGCCTCCACATTTTGGCTGCTTCCAGGTGTTTGTTTCTATGTATTAGGTAGAGCTGCTATGTCTCCTGGAATTTGTAGAGTGGCTTTGTGTAGTAGGTGTCCTGTAGGGTCCAGTGGCTCAACCTCCCCAGTCACTTGAGCTGGGCCTTCTAGGTGCTCCCCTGTGTGGGCTGTGTGCACTGTCCTGTTGTAGTTGAGCCTTGGTTGTTGTTGGCGTCCCTGGGAGGAATTGACCCCCAGGCCAATCAGCTGTGAGGACCAGCTGCAACTACAGCCAAAGAGCTGCTGTGCTGGAGACACCCCTATGGAGCAGGATTTACTTCAGTGGAGCTTTGGTGTTCACCAAGTGTACCCCTTGAGTGTGTCACTCGTGGATGTGGTAGCGCTGTAATCCAGTGTGGTCGAGTCTGACCAGCAGGTGCACTGCCTCAGGGGCCTCCCGGGAGGTGCAAAGTCAGCCTCTGTCAGTGCCTCTTCCAGGGCCACCCAGCATGAGCTACACAGCAAACCATAGTTGGCTGCTACTTGTGCTGGGCTTGGAGGNGCTTGGAGGTGCCCAGGAGAGGCCAAGCTATGAGCCAGTGCAGCTGCCACTAGTGCCAGGCCTGGGGCCGCTTATTAAGCCATATAGGGCACGCTGCTGGTTGTTTGAGAGATTTTAGGAAAGTCCTAAGCATGAGGCTCCAGAGGCCACTTGCACAGAAAAGCCCCTGGAAATGGCCTGGATGAGCTGCAGGTGGGGAGGGGCGGGGCCTCCGGGAATCACGGGGCGGGGCCAAAGGTGNAGAAAAGCCCCTGGAAATGGCCTGGATGAGCTGCAGGTGGGGAGGGGCGGGGCCTTCAGGAATCATGGGGCGGGGCCAAGGGTGTGAGTCAGGTGCTGGTGATTCAAACATGGCGCCTGCAGGCTGTGTGGGGAGGACCCGCCATAGGAGCAGTGGCCTCTGCCGGCTCTTCTGCCTGGGAGGAAGCTGCCCCTCCACCTCTCGCCCCGACTTCAGGCAGGTTAGTTCCTCCCAAGTAAGTGTCCCAGGTCCTTTCAGGCTGCCGCCCGGCGCTGGGCTCAGAGGGAGCGTCTGAGTGAGTCCGAGCCGGGTCCTTTGAGAGGAGCTGCTGGGGCTCCGCAGCCTCCACGACCCTCAGGGACAGTCCCCGCTGGTTCCACAGCCCGAAGTTGTGGGGACGTCTCTTCCCAGCCCTGGAGCCCTGGGCTGGGGGCCTGCTGTGGGGCTGGGACCCCTCACTCCTCCGGGAAACCCCCACCGCCGAGATTCCCNTGCAGCTGGGACCCCTCACTCTTCCGGGAAACCCCCACCTCCAAGATTCCCTCCCGGGTTTACCCCGTGGCACCGGGGGTGGGCCGCCCCAATCCGCCTGCGTCTCCGCCCCTCCTACCGCTTTCTTCTTCAGCTCCCTGGTTGTGGGGCTTCTGTGCAGCCAGATTTCAGGAGGCTCTGAGTGATGGTGGTTCTGTATTTTAGTTGTAATTTTGATGTGGTTGTGGGAGGTGGCGGGGACTGCGGTTACCTACGCCACCATCTTGTTTCCTCTGAAGCTGCTTTTTAAGGTCTTCAGAAGTGAGAGAGCCAGGAGTTAGGCGAAGTTCAGTTAGTTCACTGGGGGGGGGG